AGGCTGCGGTGGTAACATGTTCGACCGTTGCTACGAAAGTGTCCAGGGCAAAGGAGCTAGCGCTGCAGAATTTCTTATTTCCAATAAAAGTACTTTCAGACACAGCGTAGGAAGTTAAGTTTTCTTCGGAATAGGCTAAGGAAGGATGGGGAAGGGATGAAGGGTGAGCTCATGTAGTGTTTAGGTGGGTGCCCTAGATTAATGTTGTACAGATAAATGCTGCGCATATTACATAACTAATACAAGCTAAAATAAATTGCAGGCATTCTGTTTGGAATGCAAGGCCATAAAAGTGGCACAGAGCATGCTGAATTCTGCTTATTAATGTTAATTTAACTGGCAAATATCAAACATCCGCGCACTGTTATGTTCGGTTGTAAAGTGCATGAAGAATGCTAAATGTTTTGTGAGCCGGTCAGTGAAACGCCGGGTGTAATTGGTGGCAGCCATTATCCAGCAAGGGCATGATGATTTCGTGTGAGCGCACTTTATTTAAAAGCGATCCTCATTTTGATATCTATAACCAAATTTCATCATTAGGGCGCGCATCAAGGTTGGCGATGCGATCGTGCATTTTTGCGAAAACGTTGAAGTAAACAGATTGTTAACAGCAGACGATCGTTACTTAACAGCTTAACATGTGAACAAATGTTGGCAGTGTTTCTGACAATTTGTTTCGATGGTTTTACGCTCTCAAACTTGCCGTGTACATACATTAGACGCAGGTGTTTGTAAAAGGTGATATTGCTGTTTTCGTCCTCGACAGATGTGTGTACACCTGCATAAAACTTGTGCTTTCTCATCTACCTGTTTGCTGAAGGAGAAAGATAACGGAAGTGTTGCAGTTTGAGAATTTAACGTGTCTATGAGCGGGTATGCGTATGAACAAAAGCTTATTTTAAGCTTACAGGCTCGCACATGGACAATGGGCATTCTCATAAAATTGTGGCTTACAACTCAGTCGGGTTGCAAAGTTGAACCGGTGCCATATTGTTCAGAATTTTTATTTTACCTGGGCTAACGCGAGACTTAAGCGTACCATAAAGTTGGATTGGATGATTTAGGTCACAGATAGCTGGCAGTCATACCTACTCGTGCCTTGACTGATTCCGTAAACTGCTTCTTCGCTTTTCCCACCAAAACTTTTAACTGTCCTTAAGTGAGGACCATGCACACCTGGAGACTCAGTTTGAAATATTTAAGTTGTACCTGGACAGAGAACATTCCCCTAAAATTTTGGCTTCCTAGCTTTTTTGGTTGCTGAGTTAGTAATTTCCCGTCAAAACTTTCATACGCCGTTGCGTGAGTACTGCGCATACGTGGGGGCTGAATTTGAAATTTTTGTCTCACACATGCACAGAGAATATCCGTGCAAAGTTCAGCTGTCTATTCTTTCTGGTTCCCGAGATCGCTTTCTCGTCAAATAATTTGCATATTTTTTAAGGCATCCGTACGCGGCACGCAGGTGCGCGCAGGTGATGATATTAAAACGGGAAGGTCGTAACGTGGTGGACACATGCTCCCGGAGTTTCAGCCTTTTAGCACTTCTGGTTCTCTAATTAAAAGTGGGTGACAAAAAGTGCGAACACAAAATACATACGCAGGGAAAGCCTTTTGCCAATTTTGCGTTTTTGCACTTGCATGTATGCAAAAACGCACAAGAATGGGGGTCACATGCAGGTTGGAAACATTCTTTAAAAGTTCCAGCTTTTCTAGTTGTTACGTTAAGGTGGATGACAAAAATGCAAACACACACACACACCGGCAGCCTCTCGCCAATATGCGTTTTGCATTTGCATAAATGTGCAGAAATACAAAAAATCAGGCTGAAACGCACCAGGCTTGCCGGTACAATTATGTTTTTGCACTAAACTCGGGGATCGTTAATAGCAGGAATAATCCCTGCATTACAGTCAAACACTTGAGCTCATATTGGCCATGCTTTGGTTTCTTCCGACAAGCAGGAGAATGGGCATCGGTTGGGATGAGGGTGTTGCATGATAGGACCGCATGGACTTCCAGGTATATGATTACCAGTTTTTTGATGAAGCTTGATTGTTTTTTCGACAAATGCTCACTTTTTGAAAAAATGAAAAATGCAAATTTCCAACTCACTAAAAAGTGGAAGTATTGATCGAGCGGTCGTTTTTCAAATCATTGGCGGTGCGCACCGGGCGGGCCTGTGCGGTCATGCGTTTTCACAATATTTCGTGCTGTAATGAGATCGCTCGAAAATCGAATAGCTAGAAATGTGTGGTATACTGGTCCTTGAAGTCCAGGAAGTTAATCTTCTACGCGGTATTCGGACAAGGAACATTTCTTTGAAATTTCAGCTTTCGAAATTTTCTGGTTCTTGAATAAGCAATTTTCCTGCCAAAAATTTTGCACGGGCCCGTACGTGACAACCACGCAAGCCCGGGGACTGAGTTTGCTAAATTTAAGTCGTACATAGGCTAAGAACATTCCCTGAAAATCTCAACCTTTCGGCTCTCCTGGTTTCCAAGTTAGCCATTATCCCGCCAAAAATTCTCACGAGGCTGTACGTGAGCACCAGACACACTGAAGGGCTAAGTTTGATAGTTGTAGGTTGCACTTGTGTTGTAAACATTCTCTGAAAATTTCAGCTCTCCAGCTTTTCTGGTTCTCGAGTTATTTGTTTTCGCGCCGAAAACTTTCACAGGGCCGTACATGAGAACCACGCATGCTCGGGATCTGAATTTAATCATCACAAGTTGTATTTGTGCTTGGAACATTCCCTGAAAATTTCAGCCTCCCAGATTTCCTGATTTCCGAATTAGTCATTTTCCCGCCAAAAATTTTTATGGGGTCGTACCTGAGTACCACTCACGCTGAGGGGCTGAATTCGCTAATTGTAGGCTGTACTTGTGCTAGGGACACTGAAAATTTCAGCTTCCCAGCTTTTGCCTGGTTACGGAGTTAGCCATTTTCGCGCCAAAAATTTTCACGGGGCCACGCATGAGTTCCACAAAAACTAAGGGGCTCAGTTCGATATTTTAAGTTACACTTGTGCTGAAAATTTCAACCCTCCGACTTTCCTGGTTCTTGAGCTAGCGATTTTTGCACCAGGAACCCTCACTGGGCCATACGCAGGAACCACGCACACCTGGGGCTGAATTTGATATCTTTGAGTTGTGTGTGGACGGGAGACATATCCTCAAAATTTCAGCTTTCTAGGTTGGTACCGCGGTCCCAGGGTGGCACTTGGTTGGGGAACCCTCCGGCAAAATTTTGGCGCCAGAGCTTGCTTGGGTGCCGAGTTGAAATACCCGGACAGACGCACATACACACACGCACACACACACCTGCATACACATGCACATACATACAGACTGACACACATGAACACATACAAACACACCGGGGCCGTCACAATATGCGTTCTTGCATTTGCATATAAGCAAAAACGCATAAAAATCCAAGTATGCAAATGAACTAATATTCATTTACATATTTGGATGAGGGCGGTCGTTCGCTGCAAAACGCACTCGTTTCTGATTTCTCGGTGAATTTGAGTATTCCTGCAGGTAATTTCATCTCCGAACTGAATTAAGACCACACATGAATACAAAATATCTTTGCAAACTTGCAGCTTCGCAGCTTGTCTGGTAAGCGAAATAGCCATTTCGTAACAAATATCTTTGCCCTAAATCATGGCGCAAGTGCAAATCGGAAGTCAATTTCGATTTCCCATTTGGACGACAAACGTGCTGACAAAGTTCCAGCCATGTTTCCCTGCAAGTTTTCGAGTTAACACAGTACCAAGTTGCAAGCTTTGATACGCGCTGCACAAGCGTGTGTGACAGCTGGATTTGAAATCTTTAGCTCGCACATGCACAGAGAGTATTCCTTCAAAGTTTCAGTTTTGTATCTTTCCCGGTTTTCAAAATCATTTCCCGCCAAAGAAGTTTGCATACTTTTTTCGGGAGACCGCACGCGGGGTCTAGACACGTGTGGAGGAAGATCTTGAAACGGGAGGGTGGCATACGAAATAGGAGCATATATCCAAAGTTTCAGCCTCCCAGCTTTCCTGGCTGCTGAGATGAAAGTGGGTGACAAAATGCACTCGCTTCTGAACACACACACGCACACACACACACAAAGACAGCCTCTTGACAATATGTGTTTTTGTTGGCTGTAGCAGCGCTATAGCGCTGCACAGTAAAAACGCATAAAAAACTGCATGTGTTCCATTTATTGCAGTGAAGTTAGAATTAGGCATGTCTCCATTTCGCCTGTTTGAGAAGTCGTCAGGGTGAAAAACAATTTACTCCCTCTGGCTTGAGTAACAGGATAAAGATCTCTTCTGTGGAAAGTGTTGCTTTTTCGCGCTATTTTAATCATTTCTTGCAATTTAAATTCATACAAAGTTCAGATTTTCAATGTCTTTGAAAATACATGCCTGGTCAGTGCTGCTGTTGGCATCGTTCGCTTCGGCTGAGCATAAGTGTGTTTGGGTACACGGTGCAGTACGTTGCCATAAAGATCCGTCCAGAAATCTAAACGTAGAAGTACGTGTTTATGATCGAGATGGACTTTCGATCGCGAAACTTGTTGATCCGGATGACTTGATGGGGTTCGTTCTTGAATTCTTCGTAGTGACTTGAGTGAGTGTGAGGGTGTTGCCGTATCAGAAAAAAAAGTAATATTTCGTATTAAGTAAAACGACCTTCCCGAAGGTGGTGTATATGTACTTAACGAACCTGACGAATGACGGGGCAGTTCGATTGATTCCAAAAAAATAAGAACTGTTTTTTAATGGCATGTGTTGCCTGATTCAGAAAATTTCATTTTTAGAAAATGTACGTAAGTTATTAGAAAACTTGTTTGTGGAAGCATGCGACAATATTTTCACCACTTTCTACATTTGTTATATTATCAGCAGTCCTGTGCTGTGGGTCTAGGCGATCTCGACAATCTTTCTTGCAGAATGACAGAT